CGTCCTTCCGATTGCTACGCATCTTTACAACTACATGTTATTTGGGAATTTTTTTCAAATGTTGCGAGAGAGATGTGACTTTCTTCTCGCGCAGCTAGCTTGGTCCTACGAGTAGCGACGATGAAGCAACAATGGCAAAAAGAAAAAGAAAAAAAAAAAAAAAAACGAAATATCGAAAGTATACAGCGCTGTGTGTAATGCATAAAAGTAGGTACACGGCGCGTGAAGTAACGAACAAAAGGAAATAAAAGGAGAGACGTGTGACAACGAAAAAGCGCTGGACGGACGTTTTCTATTTCTCCTTTTCCTAGGCTTTCAGGTCGTTCGCTAGTCTTCGTCAAAGCGCGCGTTCTCTAGCTTTGTTCGCTAAAATAAACCGTATGAAAGTTTGGCACGATCGTTTGCTATTACGTACCGTGTGCGCCGCCTGTCTGACCAACCGTTGGGAATTATTTCGGTCCTCAGCCATTGTGCCGTTTCCTGAAAACAACCGATAACTTAGCGCAATCGTACACATTCGTTACGTATGGCAATAAAAGATCTGGGCACAGCGAAAAACACACTGGCAATGCCATTTAAGTAAGAACTCCGTTTTGAATATTGAATTCGACTGATTCGATATTCGTTCGATATTCGATACTCGATCCCACGCTGACGTTGCAGCACACGTAACGCCATATTTACCCAACAATTTGCTTCTAAAAGTTTCTCCTTTTCGCGTATCTGCCTATCCGCGTGCCACGCGTAGAAAAGTGTGGCTGCTGCTCAATCAATCGGCCAATTGGTGAGCTTTTTTTTCAATCGTACCGTACACTACGTAGATAGATAGATAGATATTGGCATGTACATGTATTGGAATTATTAACGTACACACGCGCGCGCGCGCACAGACATACTACTACTACTACTACTACTACTACTACTACTACTACTACTACGGTTGTACGTATACCGACCGAACCATTCTACTTTCTCTGTAACGCGACACACTTTCTTGCGATATAATTTATATTACTCGGATCGAAACCACAACAACAACAACAACAACAACAACAACAACAAGCTAAAAAATTTGTTTCATTTCTTTGCACACGACGTGCATTTATTATTCTTTTGAATCAATCAAAACGAAATATCGATGTTTAAAAGAAAAAAAGATAAATGAACCCTCCTTCCCTGGAACGCCAGCCGACCCAACTGACGAAACAAACAGTCTAAATTGTTTTATCAACCTGTTTTTATCTTCTCGTTATCCTACAATTAAATTTTCAAATGCACTTAAAAATGTCGCAGACATTATCGCTACTTCGGCCATCGCGAATAATTGGATATATCGCGTAGTTTTGCGCGTAAACCAATGGAAGAAACTTTTGAAACTTTTAAATAGAACATTGATGTACGTACGTACGTACGTACGTACGCTAGAGTCGCGCTACAGAGTAGTAATCGCATTGCAGTAATCAACGTTCCTCCATTTTTCTCGTTCAAATTCGTCCAACACACTTTCCAAGTAAATCTTTCTCCGAGTCGAACGTACTCGGCGTGCGAAATGCTTTGCTCATTTTCAAAAATACTCCAATACCGATTCGCAGCAGCGATAATAAACTGCCGGATCGATTCGACGTTGCTCAACATTTTACACGCTTGTGAGTACTGCGCGATAAGCGAGCGATAACAGGCTGAGAGTGTATTTCGCTATTTTCTCCATACTTGTTGTGTCCAACGTAGTGTGTATTGGCAAAGCCGCGCGTACGGCCAGTCTACGCTCATTCCTCGCTAAAATTCACAGTACTAATTCGGTCTAGAAATTATAATTACAACCGCCTGTCTTTCTCTCCAAAGATACCCAACGGCAGCTCGTTCGTTCGTTCGAACTGCTATTTCTTAAGAAGAATACAAGAATGAAACGATTACGAGACGTACGAGTATAATACGAATGCGTCAACCA